TCGAGTGGTTATTACTGCAAGATGAATTGCAAAGTACTCAATCGAAGAAAAAATTATGAAAAAGCCTAATTAAACTGAGAAACTAACTGCAAGAAGGAACACTACAGTTATATTCGCAGCCACTCAAACCAGTTTATATTAATACAAGGCAAGCTGTCATCAGGGAAGACGTGGGGCTCGTCAGCATTAGGTGAAGGAAATAAATCAGTCGGAAACTTTATTCTACCATCACGAATATGATAGCTTATAAAGAAAACCCGAAATCAATGGAGCTTATCGCCTGATGAAGACTAGCAGCATGCAGTCGAAACGTCGCGATCCACATCATAAGTAACTATATCGTGAGACAAAAATTGATACAGGGATGGCGCAGAAGTGAGAGCACTCGCCCCCCACACCTGTGGCCCGGTTTCGATTCCCGGACCTATCGTCACGTGTGGGTTGAGTTTGTTTTTGGTTCTCGTCCTTGCTCCGAGGGTTTTTCTCCGGGTTCTCCGGTTTTCCTCCCTCCGCGAAAACCAACATTCCAAATTCCAATTCGATCTGGAAACAGTGGACAAGGAAGAGCCACCATTGCTAAATTATTTATTTATTTTACCACGATGAATAAGCGCAAACTTTTTTACGAAATTAAATCTTAAGAAACTGGTCTGTATTTTACAAATAATACAGGCTGTGGCAGTGGCAAAAACAAGAGCAGGAGGTAGTTAGTCCTGTGTAGGTGTCGCTATCAAAGGTAGTTGCACTGACATGCATATTGCTTCTTGAAAGAATAACCATAAGCACAATGGTTTGTTCTCATTTCCAATCTCAAAGTCTTGAATCAGTACTTGTCTGAGACTGGAAAGGCGCAGCTATGTGATAATTATCTCAACTTCATCAATTCCCTGGAATACTTTTGATAAAATAAAAACTTACCTGACTGCGTATTGTAGTATCGCCACGATACTCTGTTATCACTGTGCTTGGTAATGGATTAACTGTCGATGGTTATATCGTGCATAATTTCCTTCGTTCACGTTCCTATATTAAAGTTTGAAGTGGTCACCACTTCAAAGTATTATTGAAAACTGAATTGAAAAACACCAAACAAGCAAAAAGAGTTGGAGAAAAAATGATCAAACAAACCTCAAGACAGGAGAGAGCAGTCGAATTCCGAGTTAAATAAACCAATCTAGTAAACGCAAGACAATTTTTCAGAATAAAGCTAAAGCACGAGGGTTTCCTGAAAGCGATGGCCCATGTGAAGTAAAGTAGCCGGTCGAGAACTTCTAAAACAGTTCTCTATACAATCCATCACAGTATAGGGAAACTTTGAAAATTGACACATGGCAGGTTCACAGGAAAAGATAAATTACTACCAACTTGAAAAGGATACACATTTTTATACAATCAACGGTGTCTCCTAGGACAGGTTCAAAGACATTTGATATCTAAATACCCTTTGATTGGTTAAATTCATGATAAAACGAAATAAACTCAATTTTTGAAATAATCGACTTCAAGTGAAAAAAATAGTGTTTATTGACAGAGCGGTCTATTTCTGTTGATTAATGAGGAAAGAAAGTGAGGTGAATATCTAAACTTCTTCAATACAGGTGCAAAATGGAGTCTTGTTCTTTTCCAAAACTTTTATTAAGGACGTTGCACCATAGTTAGTAGTCCCCTCTACTTGCACATAGCTGCGAGTGGATACAAATTGTATCTTAGAGTGTTTAAAGTATCTTTCACTTGTGAGAGAGACGAATGTGATGAACGTTTCTCAGGATGATATAAACTTAGGAGTTATACGAATATATTTCGCGCAACAAAATTTTGTTCTGTTGTTATGTAAACCACTTCCACCCCTAGGAGCGATAAGCATCTAATTTTTCCCATCAGTGTCACCCTTAACCAAACATTAAGGTCACGAGAATAAAGGAAATTATCTTATACTCAAAAAGCTCTTGATTGTAAGGCAAATCCTCTTTGTCAACACCACGGGAAATGTGTAGAGAACAGTTCATAACATAATGAAGACATGAATATTTATATCCACGCGCAGCCCTGCGACATCCTCTGTATTCTTTAGGTAAGTTTACTTTAGGGGTTTTTCTACTAGCATTGCAAAAGGGAAGTATTTTTCCAACTCCTAGAGCAATCTAGTCTCAGTTTTTCGCTGTTAATACTCTTCCTATGACAACTTCTGATAATCAGGTATTTTTTTTATTCGAAGAGTTGAACGAGAAGATTTAGGGCAGAATTGCGAACAAACACAACACAAAAAAGGAAAGAAGAGAGTTATGTACGGGTAAAATTTTTCATTTATTGGGCAAACTTTTCGTTTCCTTAGCCGGAATTCGAGGTATTGACGTTTTACTATAGTAAATGTAAGAAGCAAATCCAAGGGAAAACAATTTCGGTTTGATGTAGCGCAAGACTTGAATAAGCAAGGGCTCTAGTGTGAAAGGCACGGCAGTCTTCAGCTGGGGAAGGTGTCCAGAAGAAAATTTAT